TTGTGGGCCGTTGAGGCAGACAGGTCACACAGTGTTGCTAAAGTTCCTAATCTTGTGGTAGCATCTGATCTTCGGCAGAAGATCCGAGTTAGGAGCGGGGCCATTTCAGACAATTGTGCAGGTCATTCTTGGCGGTTATCCGGGGTCTTTGCCTTGTACATCTTGCAAATAGTAGCTATTTTTTCATTTTTTAGAGGCACTAGAAAAATTTGCCGAAACCACTAGTGAAGTTATAAATTGCAATGTGAAGAAACAACTGCCGTACACCAAGGTTCGCTCAGAAGGCATCTTAACTCCTGACCATAATGATGATAACGGTGTCGTAACGAAATGTCGAGTGTTAAATTAAACTTTGTCACTACTTGCGCTCGGTGATAATGCATGCAACAAAAATACTCCACTGACATATTATGGACTGAGAATCATCTTTTAAAGGTGCCTATCATCCTCCTAGCTTAACTCATTTTCCCTATGATTCAACTCTCTTCATATTCTCTGTTTTAAGCATCGTGCTCTGCTTCATTATGTTTCTTTTCTCTTCGCTGGTACTATCACTGTATGAAATACATTGCTTACCCAGTCCTCAGGTCTTCGCTCTACACTATCGAACCAACGGAATATGCTTCGATAGGCATTTCTCTTCTTGAAGCTACCCATATTCTGTCCATCATGACGGGATTTCAGATCGAGTGCTTCTGTCGACGCCATACATTATTTGAGAATTCACATTATCCGGGAATTTAGGTATTGCTCTTATCCCTTCATGATGGTCAAACGTTCAGCTCTCTAGAGCAATACTACCTTTATCCCTATTGCTTTCAGTTTTACGGGCAGTCTAAATCCACGAACGTGCTGATTACCTCCTCTACTGGAGCTAAGAAATTATCGGTTTTTCTAATTTGCTAACCGTTTAAGAGAGTAGGATATGAACTCCAATCGATCGATGTCACGTTTACTAAAGGTTTAGTCGTGTTCGACTATTCCGCTTTTCAACGATGTACAAGCTTAACCTCCGCAAATGCTGTTCCAATTTTTTACATGCCAATTCAGACTGCATTTCTGCTTTGCATGCAGGGGTGAGAAAAAAGCTTTACATACAACAGGTTCCTTTTCTGCTGCTCGGGCAGAACAATATATAAAATACGTGGCGCCTTAAATAGTCAGATGCCTTGAATGTGCCTGAGATAAAGTAATAAACTTCTGGAAGTACACTCAAAAAACGCGCGAAGGGGCAGAATTTAGGCTTTTAAGTACACTACAGACGAAATATTTATGACACCTTCAGTGCTTGAGATATGGCGATAAAACATGCATGATTCATCTTTGTGCATAAAATCATTCATTTAAAAACTTAAAGGTTCATGACGCATACAATTCATTATATGAACACAAACAAATTTTTGAACAGAAATTAAGAATTAGACAATATGAATTTTATGTGCTAATTAAGATGATTATTGAGATAATCACGCAATATATGAAGGTAAATATGATTATCATGCAAAATGAAAATATAGTTAATGCTCCTGAAAGAACAGGTTTAATGTGGAGTGGACAGATGTCTAGAGCACTGAAGTAAAACGGTTCATTCGGAATCTGGCTGAAATTCAGCAGACAAGCGAAGCTATCAGAATACTAAACTAGTTAACATGAAACAACTTATTTTAATAACGAGTCCCTAAAAATGATTAAGTTGAAGACGACATAGAAACAGTTTGGGTAAAAATATTTAAGGCAAAACTTTAATCCTTCTTGTATAATACCGCTGCGTAAAATTATTAGATGACTTCGTTTTTGACTTAGATTTGAAACGTTTAACCGTAAGCTAACTGTCCTACCAAATCCGTGCTCAAAACACCAAAGACAAGTGAACATCGCACACTACCTGAATACTCCTTTAGCCAATTAGGGTTCCAACGAAGTATGGAAGCCATTAAAAAGTTGTCGACGCCCGTGAGTTCTCCTTCAAAATGTAGCAATACTTCGCAATTTCTTGACTTTTCTGCAGGTACATTTCCGCTGAAACTGCAAGTCTAATTTCAACGAGAAGAAAACAGAAAATTGCAATACCCTTTGCAGTTGTGTGACTGAACTGATTCTTCATCTTCAGGCAGACGGCAAAAATTCACTTGCGTCGAAACCTTTGTCGTTTGTGCACCTAATAATGATCATATAACAAAGCGGGGCATAGCGTGGAGTAGTTACCGCTTTCTGAAAAGCATTTTTCAACTGACCACTGGGAACCTTCGTCTTTCTTGGATAAAAAATCACTGCCACCATCGCTGAGATACGTCGAATTTGATTCGATGGCCGCTTCAGAGGCTGCAGCCGATTTTACATCGAAAGGTTCATGGTCTTCCGCAACTGAACCGAAGTCTGGCTGAACAAATTCTTGACTTTCAGTCGGAAGGCTGAAACGAACATGTGTCGAAATCTTTCTCCTTTGTGCACCTAAAAGTAGTCATATAACTAAGCAAGGCATTGCGCGACAGCATTACCGCTTGCTGAGAGGCACTTTTTCATTGGACGTTGGGGCACTTGGTCATTCTTGGAAGGGGTATTACCGTAACCACCGCCAAGATCTGTCGAATTTGCTTCTGAGGCCGTTTCATTGACCACTGCGGCTTTCACGCGGATGGATGGACGCTTTTCCGCGACTAAACCTAAGTCTGACTGAGTTGATTCCTGATTTCCAGTCGGAAGGGACAGAAGGACTTGTGGCATCTTTTTCCCTGGCATGCCTAAAAATGACCATAAAACAAAGCAGGACAAAGCATGGCAGTGTTACTGCTCTCTATAACGCATTTTTCATTCGAACTTAAAGGATTTTGGTCATTCTTGAAAGGGATATCACTGCCACCGCCGTTGAAGTACATCATATTTTTTTCGGTGACGGATTTCACATCAATGGATGCATGATGTTCCGCAACTTCAAAAGGTACCGAAAGCGGACTTTTATTCAGCCTCCGCACTGGCGTTTGGATCAAGCGATTTTCTGGTTTATTAGGAGAGACATCTGAGGTGGAGGAGTCCGGTTTTAGACGATCTCTTGAGATGCTATCCTGCTTTTCTTCAGATTTTGAGCACTGGGTGAGCTGTGAAAACTGAATAGCTTTGCGTGGCAATAGATTCTGTATAGGCAGCGATTTGACGCCGTTCGAAACTGCGCATTTTTCTTTTCTTCGTCTTCGCAAAAAATCCAAGTTTCCTTTGACGGACTTCGATGCAGTAGATTCTGTGAACTGTGATACCGACTCCATATTTCTGCCTAAAACAAAAAATACGAGCCTCATAAATTTGCGAAAGATTTCAAAGTTGTCTTTATCGCTGAGAAACATTACCAATTGTTCTGAGCTAGCAACTGCCAACTTTAACATAAACATTCCATATATCGTCACTGTACAAACCCCAAGCGTTAGCAGAAATTAAAATAAGTAAAAACAATCCAACGATTTTATGATCTGTGGGCTGCACTGCAACTGATAGTGCCAACGCAGCCTCTCAATCGGTGGAAACCTGCCACTCCATGATAGACACGCAACATA